TAAAGGAACTGAGGAACAGAGAGACTAAGTAACCTGTACATGGTCCTCTAGATTCTTGCCATTTAGAAGTGTGATCCTCCAACTAATAGTGTCAGCATCACTTGGGAATTGTTAGAAATGCAGAATATTAGTAAGTCCACCTCGGACTGACTAAAGATCTGCGTTTTAACAAGGTCTCCAGGTAATTAACATGTGCATTAAGTTTCAGTTTCAGAGGATGAGATAGTCTGGCTTTTAACCTAAGATAGGCTGACTCCAAGTCCAACTTTTATGTGTGTGTCTTTATTTTTATCATTTAGTGTTCATAAAATAATGCTGGGAAATCAAGAGCATACATATGCCTTAGAAAAATTCATATATATATATATGGGGTAGGAACTCATATAATACTTTATGTCATCAGTTTTTACCAGCATATATTCTACAAATCCAAATCATATTAAAATAAGGAGAATCATGAAAACTTAAACAAGTAGCCTATTTGTTTTCTTTCATCTATATAATTTAAAAGTGGTTAATATTTGATAGGTTAATAATAAATATTTTAATATAGTATATTGCATTTGGTTATGAATATATCAAGAGGAAATACAAAGTGAGTTCCAAAAGATAAACTTTTATTGGGTACATGAAATAGAACATAAAATCTGATGGCAATTACCATTTAATCTATTCATGTTTGGAAACGTATTGAAAGAGAAACTCATAACTCAGTTAATTGTTATGAATTATTAATTGCTCATTTGAAAAGCGAAGAGCAGAACTGCGTTTGTTGAAAAACTTTCTTTCACAGTGGCTTTAACCTTTGTGTCACTGGTTTTCTGAGAACAAAAAGGAATGACAGCAAGATTCTAATCGTCCAAAACTAGAAACCGCAAGACTGTCAAACATCTTAGTAACTACACAAAGGTTAATTGAGATTTAAATGAAATGGTTATCACTGGCCCCACTCCAGCATTCTGAAGTGTGATTCTCTGGGGTGGGCCTAGGCATCTGTATTTTACAAAATTCCCTAGGCAGTAATAACATGCAGCCAGGATTGAGGACTGCCTTTTCAGTAATTACACATTATCAGAGAGATTTAGTCCAGTCATGAATTTGACTCAGAATATTCTGAACCTCAAGTGAGATTTAAGTTGGGCTGCGTTTGCCACCCCTAGTTAGAGCTGAAGTACGGGGACTCACACCCCTAATGCCACAAGCATTGTAAACCATGTGCAGCTAGATAAAGATGTATTCTCTAGATGGCAAGTGATTTCTGATCCAAACAGGCACAGAGCAAGAGTACCTCTGGATTTAAAGATACCTGATGTAAATAGCCCCTTCTTTCTCAGAAATCAATGTTATGAATTTCTTCTGTCAGCTGAAAAAACAAACCTTCAAAAAGTGGAAACTTTTTTTTTATTAACTAAATCCAGGGATTTATTGTTTAGTGTCAGCAGCTTAATTGCTTTATAATTGATTTTCCTGAAGAGAACTGAAAACTTAAGCCACCTTAATTTCCTTTATCTTGACACACATGATTAGCATTACTCTGAAGTATATTTTACTTGATTCCCAATTACTGTTTTTTAAAATAAATTCTTCATTACATACTTCTCTTGATAAAATATTTCTAAGACAGAGAGAAAGCAAGAATATAAAGATAAAAATATGGCTGCTTCATTCCTGTTTGATAGCTTGATCCTCTTTCTTCAAAAAATTCTATTTATAATCAGTTAAACTTTTTAATATGATTAGGATTTTTAAAATACATTACTACCTGCTAATTTTTTTAATGTTGGAGTAAAGAGTAAGAACATTAATGGCAATGACAGAAACTTAAAGATGAGACAAAACAAATTTGCAACCTTGACTAATATGCATAAATCCTTCTAGACCCAACCAAAAATTTTGTGTGCAGCAGTGACAGTCCTATAGCATTCATGACCCTTACTTAACCTCAATTTGCTCATGAAAATAAAAATTGGATCCACCTCACTATGAGAATCAAATACTATAATGACACTTAACCTGATTTCTGACATGCAGTGAGTTAATAAACTGAGTGATGTGTTACCTACTTTCAAAGTATCATTGAAAATGATAGGAATTGGATCAAAAAATTTAAGAAATCAATCAAGCCACAAACAAATAACATGATAAAATAGTCATGGCTGCTTTTTGGGGGAAAAAAAGGCTGAAAAATGAATGGGATTTAATATTGTGTCATTTTTAGGGTTATTTTAAGTTTTAACTGCCATATGTAATTGCAAAAATTTAGTTAAGATTTTGTCTAAAATCAATGCCTTTGCTGCTTCCAAATAGGGAAATAAAGCCCTTGTGATAAACTTTTATCCATTAAATTTACCCTAACCTTAGCGGCACTCCTTCATCAATTTTAGGATCATCCTAAATCCTGGAAATTACCCTGTAATGGTAAAATGCCTGTCTGCTAGCCAGGTCTTGAATAATGGTGACCCCTAAACAAACCAAAAGCAGACTGGGTCCTGTGCTTGGACATAAGCCAGCTTCTCAGGAGTGATGACTGGACAGTTACAATCCATTCGGTCACCATCAGACATATTGGATACTTGACTGTTTTCAGCTTGGTGACTGTTGATGCCCTTAGGGATTTATATATCAGGGAACATTCAGCTCCATCTATTTTTTTTTTTTAAAGAACTTCTCAGGAGACTTTTCACAGGGTTATTTGGCTATTCTTAGCAAGTTCGTGTTACATGCTATTTTTCAGCAAAGTTAAGATTTCTTTACTAAAAAGATACCCAAATTGAGGACTCTTACTTTGAAGGGAATAAGGTGTTAATTCCTGTAAATTTTAAAAATCCACATGTCATATTTTCCTTGAAGAAGTAAGGCTGAATTTTTATAGTAAACCAAAAGGCATTGAGGAACAGACATTAAGTTAATAATTCTGCAGCCCTAACAATGCCACCACAAAATGTGAAAATAAAAAGGAATCCTAATTTCCAAAGAATAAGGAGAATGAGAGAATTGTGACTGTCCTAGCAGCAGGTGTCCAGGGGCCTCATTGTCAAGGGTCAGCCAATCTTGGTTTATTTGAAATGCGCTGTCCCTCTACACTCTATATTGGCATGTTGTTTTACATTTGCATAAGAATATACTAGTCGTTACAACTACATGTTGAATGAAGAATCATCAAGGCAGAGAGGAACAGTGTAAGAAGCACCACTCTGAAGGAGCTTGGTGAGAAGACAGACCCAAGGTTGAGGAATTCATCAATAAAGAGTCAAACATTACTTTTCTTTTTCCATGAAGCCTGTGCCGTGATAGATTCTGTGTAAGAGGTATCCAAGTTTCATACAGTCTGGACCGTCAAGGAGGTTACCAAACTTGAGATCGGTGTAAAGCACATAATGTCATAGAGTGAAACAGAGTTTTCTGTCCAGAGAGAACTGAGGGCCCTCCTAATGGCTCTGGTTGTAGAAGGAAACTGGAATCTATTCTAGGTCTGCTCTCACCGAGTAGCTGTGTTTGTATAGTGGTTGGAATCCTGCCTCTGCCTCTTACTGTGTGTCTGGTTGAGCAAATTATATAACCTCTCTGACCTAAGATTGCTTCTCTAAAAAAGAGGTGATAATACCTCATAGGGTTGTTAGAGAATTAAATGAAATGTTCGTAAACTGCTGAGTACAGTTCTTAGAGCACAATAAATGTGTCTATAAATGATCACTGTTACTGGTAGTGCTCTACTATAAGCAAACTCCAGTGGAAAACAGAGAGCCTTGATGAAGAACTCAGGAGGGTTTGCAACTGTGAATGAGTCACTACTCTGTAAATGGAAATACTGGTTCTCAAGAAATATTTGACAAGACAATTGTGTGTGCCAAGATACCATCAGAGGAAAGTGGGAAGTCTTTGGGGGTAGACTGAGACCTTAGTATGGATTCCCTGAAGTTCTGAAACTCAGCAGAGGATGGAATTGCAGGAAAGATAAGGAGCTGAAAGTCCATCCTGTATTCAGAATGTACCTGACATCACAGGTCAGCTCCCCTGGTCCCAGGGGCATGCCTGCGCCCCACAGCCTTGCTCAGGACTCTTGAACACATACATCCCTCTGGGTCACTGAGTCAGAGAATGGGGCATCCATTTACTTCCCTGATACAAGTTTAGTGTCTCAAAACAATGGTCAGCATTAGCCATATAGTAGAAAAAAAGAGTTCTCTCCTGTGTCCAATTTCAAATGAGAATTTTATCGTTTTGTGAAACCATACAGTCAGCCTCAAGTTTGTTAATAAACCTGAAGATAAGGTGGCCTTTTATTTCTCTTTAATCAAGAAAGCATTACCTATTCCTAGCTACAAATTTAATGTTAGTACAGAAAAAAATGTTCCTGTAGAGAATGGATCTCTGTCTAAAACATCAGCCAGAAGTTGACAGTCAAAAAGAACACTTGGAACACATTCTTTTTCAAGAGAAAACAGGAGTTCACTGGGCTCTTTTCTTTCCCTCAGCAGGTACCTGGTTTCCAGCTACAATCGTATGCATCACTCACTAAAAAAAAATGTGTTTGAAAACACAACTAGAGATCATGACTAAAACCCTGAGGTGATCTCTTCAGTCCAGCCTAAGTCCAGTTCTTTTTCTCCAATGTACTTAAGCTTTACCTGCTCTATCTTTCTTTTTAAGCTGCCATGCCTTTAAGAAACAGGAAAGACAAATACCATGTACGGAAATACACTGGAGTCTTACAAATGAATGTACACATATCACAAACACTTCATGAATTAAACTGTGTTAAAAATATTTCATTAAATACTTGAACATTTTACACATATTATTTCATTTCTTCTTCCCAAACCCTACCAGGAAGTGCTAGCATACCCATTTCATAGATGAGAAAACAGCCTCGGAGAGTTTAATGTGTTCAAAGCAAACAATTAGTAAGCAATAGAGCTGTTATTAAACCGAGCTAGAGATCTTACTCCCTGTCCCCCATGCCTCACTGACTCATTGCTGCAAGTCCAAAATAGACTCACTTTGTGCTCAGTCCTCCTTTAGAGGCAGGAGGGTAACAGGAGCTTGCCATGTTCTAGTCGTGGACCATAGCCCAGTGACAGGATCAGTTTTTTCAGTGAGATGGAAACAAGCCTCAGTACTCATTATTAGGGGTGTTCATGAACATACACAGTGCCACCCAACAGGGAAAGAGACTTCCAAACAAAAACAAGCTGCAAAGGACAAAGGTTACCAGCTCTCTCTCACTATCACTTTAGCATCTGCTAACAGGAGTGAATGTTTATTCACTGTCCTCTATGTGCAGCAAATTCTCAGAATCAACAGCTAGTTCACCCATGCTCGCTTGGACAGGCAAGTTATAGTTTTAGATTCCCAGCTCTCAAGGTCAGTCCTCAGATGTGCACTGAGGAGAGGCTCTGTTGCAATGCAGAGGCACTGTTGGGGCGTAGCACTTCACGCAGGCCTGGGGTGTTAGCAGGGAGAGTGGGCTGCCATCCTAAAGAGGCAAATCATGCAAGTCAAGCCAAAACTTCTGTGTTTCAAACACACAGAATCAACCAAACTGGTCATGAAAATACTTCCTGACCAGTTCCTCAGCCAGTCAAAAATTCAAATAAATGGACATCAAACTTCAGCAGATGCCATGTCACTTCACAAGTTAGTACCCCAAAGAAGGAAATTGCCCACTTACACAGCTGTCAGATATTTAGTCACTGGGTCATATATGACAAAAGAGATCATCTCATTCCAACATCGTCATCACAGCAAGCACTGTGCCTCACCATCATTAATCTTCACCTCTTTATGAGAGAAGGTATCACCTTCTGCATTTTAGAGATGAGGAAACTAAGACTTGGGAAGATGAAACAAACTGTCTAAAGTCACAAAATTAGAAGAAATAAGAATGAGGTCAAGGCCAACTCTCTGCCTCTGCAACCCACCGCAACATGTATTCACTGTTCAGGTGCTGTGTGCTGAGCCCTGAGCTACAGCAACTCAGGGGTGAGCCTTGCAGGGGAGGAGGGCGAGAAGCGAGGTGTCATGAGGAGGGCTGTTGCACATCAGACACCTGCATGATGGTTTTGAAGCAATAAAAAGTAATTAATCACAATGTCATCCACTAGCCTAGTGTGGCACTCCTCAGGATCGAGAAACAATGTCGGGTGCTAGAAGCAGGACAGTGCCCATCTTCTCTTGTTCTTCTCCAGGCTGTGTTAGTGCTTGTGAAAGTGACAAGTGCCTGATTCATCTGAGGGCCCAGTATTCTCAGACAGGTGGGGCAACTACAAAGTGACTCTGCTGTACAGCTCGTGGTGAAATGGAACGGAATGGCTGTCACACAGCAGCCACCCCTGTGAATTGAGTGACAGTCCTGCATAGCCCAGCAATATGGGGACAAACCTTCATCATGGCAGCAACTTGCATGATGTCACGTCAGGAACTACATGGCTAGGCTCCCCCTGTTGCCCTGGAGACAAGGAATAGCAAGAATTCTCTTCATCATCAAATCATTAGCTGCTGGTGGCAGACACACTGTCTCAGCCCTCGTGTCCTGTGCCTGTCATCTGTTTGGAAGGGTGTAAGAGAAGGAGTGAAGATGGCTTGATATAATGGAAGCAAATGCTATGAACAGGATCTTTGAAAACATGGCTTAGAGTCATGGAATAGTCTCCTATGAGGCTTGGAAAAATGCACCCATTTGTAGAAGGGATGTGACTATTCCCCAGGCTATAACACAGTGACCCATCCCGATGGCAGACAGGTCATTCCATCTTTAAAACTGAAAACCATCTTGTGAAGAGGACAATGAAGGACAAAGGAAATGAAATAAGGCAGTGGAAAGCATCCCGGAGTCCCCTGAGACCTCCAGTGGAGCACATGGATCTGCACACAGTAAGGAGAGAGTAGAGTGGCCACAGGAAGCATGCCCGCCGTGGGCTCGTAGGGACTCTTAGGACCCCTTGGCTGGAAGCTATGTGGGTTTAACAAAGTGTCACCAAGCAGATGTCTATATCCCTGCTTTCAAATGGAGAGAAAGCAGGATTTGGACCTAGTGGGCACAAACAAGTTCTCTCTCAGCCAGACTGGCTTTGGATCTGTGATAAGCCCATGCTCAATCCTGGGCACCCAGAATAATAGGATCACTCTCAGTCAAGTGAATCTGCCAAGCTTCTGAGAGCTCCCACTGGAAGCAAGTGGACCATCAGGAGGCTCGGCCTGCTTGCTTACTGTGACTCCCAGGAGGACTTTAGAATAGTCTTTGATGTGTTTGCCGGTGCCGTACCGCACTTCATCTAATCCCCACCTCCAGAGTAGACTGAAGTATCTGGTACCAACCAGGATACTCTGTAATTCAGGGTTAGAGGTTCCATTTGGTTTCATACTGGTCTACAAATATCTTCGCCTGCCCATACATTGCAACACTGTTGCTCTGCCATAATGCAAGAGCTTTATCACCCTGCTGAATGACAGCTGTGCTGTGATGTAAACTATTACCCATAAGAGAACCTGCCACGAAACCATTCTCCATGAGACCACACCAGAATGCTAGGCTAGGCCTCATGTCCATGGATTGCATGTTGGAATATTGCATGTTATGTAACCCAATGTGCAGATGAACAAATCATTATTCTGCAGAAATTCTATATACAGCACCGTCCACACATTTAAGAAATAGCCTCTTTGTTCCATCATAAATCTAGTTGCTAGCACATCTAAACCTTATTATTTGAAGAAAACACCAATCTCAAGCTTCAGGTTTGGGTGGCTAACACAATCCTTTTTCATGCTGTTTTAGACATGAACACTTAGAATTGTTCAGTCTGTTCTCCTTCATTAGAAAAGCATTCATGGAGAGAAATAAAGGCCATCAAAAATATCCAAATTGGCAGGAAGCACCATACACCTATCACTCAGCTGATTTTTCAGTGTGATGTCATGAATCTTTTGGTATAGAATTCCCTATCCAATACTTTAACTACAAAGAGCAGCACATATATGGAAAAATCTGGAAGTAATACATTTGAATGACGTTTGTACCCTTCATGTTTACCCATGTGCATAACATTCCGCTCAATGTTGTAGATACACATAGATAGGAGCATGTATCCAACATGATTACATGGAGTGTGTTATACTCAATTAATGGAGAATTGGGAAATAGTGTTCAACCTTGTGCTTAATTATGTCATGTATGTGGTTATCAGATATTCATGTTGGTTTCTAAGTGGCAAAAGATATTTTGTTTTGTGGTTTATCTAACAATAATTTATTTTTATGAAGATTTTTCCTAACAGGAAAATTACAACATTCTTTTATAAATATTACAGTTTGAATCATACATAAGCTGCCAGAATAAATAATTTATATCAGTAGACTTATGAGTTCATAGCATGAGGATGTATTTGCCTCCTAAAGTATTCAAAAATTATGAATCTAATTCTTTGCCATAATACCTAAGAAGCAGAATATTAATTTCTTGGCATTTTGTGTTATGAATAGTGTAAGGAAATTTTTCTGAAGACTATTTTTATTCATTTATGTGTGCCAGACTCCTTGGTTAGAGATATTATAAAATGAGCCCATCCTCAGGATGGTATGTCTTTATCCAGAGTATGTAAGGAAAAAGTTCAGTTTCCCCTTAAAAATTTATCTCATTTGCTCTAATAGCCTGTGCACATATATATTCAATTCTGACATGTTCTCATCTGAAATGTTGGGAGTGTTATTCAACATATGCCTAATGTCAATATTAGAAAACACAAAATAGTAAAAAGCTAGTTCAAAATCCCCTAACTTTCAATTAATTAGTCAGATTAATGGGGATGACACATTAGTTCCACTGTTATACTACTCCAGTGACAATCTTCTAAAATTAGGAACTGCCAATCTGGGGTAAGCAAAAGAATTCTAGATCATTTTAAATTTAACCTCAGCCTACTCTTAAGTCATTAGAGAAAATTAAAGGAGATCTCTAGCCATTAAATTCAGCCCAATAGTCTTAAAGTTCAAAAGGTAAAAAGCACTTTTCACCATAAATAAACTGAGACAAAATTATTTTCAATGTAGTTTCAGTTTCAGTGAAAATAAAATAGGTAATTACATTGGCCATTACTGAGGCCACTGCCTTCATTGACCATCTGGCTTAAAACTAAAAAATAGGTATCATTTGATATATGGACAGAAATGAGCAAAGTGTCCACAGCTTCCTTTTTTTATTTTTAATTGAAGTATCATTGATATACAATCTTATATTGGTTTCAGATGTACAACACAGCGATTCAACAGTTCCCCCATGATTAAATCCTCACCCTCTCTGGTGCAGTAAAAAATATGGAACACTTCACGAATTTGCATGTCATCCTTGCAAGGGGGCCATGCTAATCTTCTCTGTATCTTTCCTTTTTAAAGATTTCAAATTCAGTTAATTCACGTGTGAGCAACCTTCATGAAACAATTACCGAGAAAAATAGCCCAAAAGCCTTTTTGAAACTGAACAACTGAGGGGTCAAAAAAAGAAACATGGCTTGTCTAACCAAGACCATTACTACAGTTGCCGTTTTCCTTTCTAATTGGTCCTTGCGTAACATTTTTGCATGCCAGAAATGGGAGAGCCACATTATCATTCCAATTGCTATCATTTTTCCTGTATATGCAATCCTATTGATAGGATATAAACCTCATTTTCAAGTTGGGAGTGTTATTCCCTAGGAAGGAATATAATTTAATTTTTACCTAATTTTGTTCTGCTTCCTACAATCTCAGAAGGCATCAAAACAGTGTAGGAAGTGGTGGATGGATGCTGTTTTAATGCAAGTGTATGTTTTATTTATTTTTATTAATCTCTTTTACCTCTGAAAAATGTCATTATTAGATTTTTTTTTTACACTATTGTTACCTGAAGTATATCAAAGAGAAAACAGAGCAGTTCACTGCTTTGCTCTTTAGCAACTTTGCAAAGACTTGTAATATATTGTTCAAGAAGAGGGCGGTAGAAATTGCATTAATTTAGTTTGAGTTTTACACCTAGGATAACTTTATTTCCTATATCCTTTGTAAAACTCAAGCTCTGTTGTTTTGTGTCTTGTTTTCCTAACACAGAGGCCACTAGCTTCAGGTTATGCTATTCAGTCAGCCTCAAAATAGAACACATACTTTC